CAAAACATACTAATACAAAGTTCATGGTATTTGATAAATAAATGAATTATTAAATAAAAATTGAAGAAATACAATTTATATGCTTATTTTAAAATAAAGAAATATAAATAATTAATATAAAGGTGAAGGAATTTGAAATATTATTTCATGAACAACACAAGTTCGTAAAAAAATATATATATTTGTATATAATTATATATATCTAAAGTGTAGAGCACATGCATGCCCACATGAGCTGGCAACTGATAACTAACCTCTTAACTAACTCAAGTGATAAACAAGCTTACTAACCAAGCTATGCTTAACTATCGTAACAAAACACAATTAAGTTATCTCATAATACACCCCTTGAAGCGAAGCCGAGTGCGAATAGCCTTTTGCACGTAGAGAAAGCCGAGAACACAACAAATGAAAGTGGCTAGGAGACAAGGGCTTGGTGAGGAAATCAACAACAAAAAAAAAATAAAAAATGAGAAGGAACATATCTAACTTCTACATCATTTGCATCCACTTTTTCTTTAACAAATGTGCATCTATCTCAATGTGTTTAGTTCTAAGAACACGACTAGAAGCTAGAGCTGCAACACTATTATTGTCACACCACAAAATTAAAAAACGACCAACCGCTGGGGTGGCCGATCTTCTCAGGAGAATACCAATCATGGGAGAGAGAAGGACGCTTTGTGGAGGTTCTGCGGGGGTTTTTAGTCGAAGCACCAGGTTGGGAGGAAGAAGGTGGAATGGTCGAAGATGCGGGAGCAGTGGGTTGAGGAGAAATGACCTCGTCCTCCTCTGGCTCGTCTAACGCACCGAGAGTAGGTCGACGGCGGCGGAGAGGAACGTTATCCATAGTATCCCGGAGTTGGAAGAAGCAACACGGGCTGTGAAAATACGGGTAGGAACAAAATCACCGGGGCGAAGGATCGAGAGAGGAATAGCTTCAAGTGCAGAGGGTAACACCTGAACCGAGTCAGAGGAGGTGGTCGAGGTAGCAAGATCTAAAAAATAAAAAGGAATAATATCATAAAGAGGAATTCCGACGAAAAGAAAAAGGGGGAAAAGGCGAAGGTTTTCAAAGTTAGGGTTCTATAAGGAGGCGATTTTGGAAAAATTGAAGAGGAAGAACATGAATTTCGGAAGATTTTCGAAGAAAGAGCACAATTCACGATGATTAACGAGTAAACATGGATACCCAACACATAAATTCAGAACACCCAGTCAACAAAACTCGAGATACCCAACCAATTCAAAATTTAAAGAAAAAAAAAAAGAAAGTGCAGGACACAGGAAACATAAATTCAGATGAGGAGCAACTTACTCATAATCGCAGAAGGGAGCATTGGGAAAGCTCAAAGACTGCAGGAGAAATTGCCGAAAGATTTAGGGTTTTTTTGCAGAACAGATTTTGAGCACACAAAAGTTTTAAATTTGCGAAGGTGGAAAAATCGGAAAATTCTGTAAGTGTGGATTTTATACTTGGGAAATTTAAAGGGTGGGAAGATGAAGGCCGTTGGATTAAAGCCAGATCTAACGGTGGTAAGCATTAACTCACGCGGCACTCAAAGCAGGCGCGTTATGCGAGGAGGCGCTATCATTAAAGTGCCTGACAAGGGCGGCAGACGCGACGCGTGGCAGAAAAGTAGGTGCGACATAAAGGACATATGGCAGGTGACTTTATCTCGGGCAATTAATGAGAAATTATTTTAAATAGTGGGCGGGAAACTCACCAAATGGTCGATATCTGACATCATGCCACCCAGGAGGGCGATAAGCACGACCTCACTCTTAGATCGAGTCACTTAGACTCGACCAGAGTGGGGGGGGGGGACTAGATGATATAGGATATTATACCCCCAAGGCTAAACCGATCTACTGACCGGTCGAGGAAGTCGTATTATGAGGAAGTCGAGGAAATCGAGCAGTTAACCAGTCGACCAACAAAGCCATCGACCAACTATCCTTCGACCAGATGAACGATCGAGCAGTTCAGTCAGCCTCGACAGGTCGACCACTTTGAGGACTTAACACTACACTGATCGGCCTAGTCACAGGCGCGTGAGAGAGCCTCTAACCGAATTTCAGGAGAATATTTACCCCATGTGCAGGAAGACACGTGTCGAGAATGCAGTGGTTGATAGCAATAACCACCTCTGACAGCCTACCCCATGTGCAGGAGGACACGCGTCCAAAGGGTATTGGTGCAGGCGATAGTGGCGACAACTACCTCTGACACACGCGTATTGTGTGTACGGACGGGCAGTTAGGGCAAACAACTCACCAAATCCGGGCAGCCCTAGGTCAGGTATCTCACCCCTATATAAAAGGGGTGAGCCTTTCTTCTTGAACACGATTTCTCTATTATTCACTTCAAAATACTCAAACACATATTGACTTTAGCATCGGAGGCTCTTCACCGGACACAACCCCCGGTGTGAGAGTTGTTTGCAGGTTTCCGGCGTTCTTTCGGCGAGGACAAGAATCGATCTATCCCAAGCTGGACCAGGACGTTCACACTTACATTAGAGGGTGACTCAAAAAACAAGCCAAGTTCTTGAAACAAAGTTCGTACTCGGTCTTTGCACCTTAGCGCTTTAGTTTATAACGACATTTCGGCCTTTATGTTTTTTGGTGTTTGTACAATGCTCGGGGACTGACCTCCTTTGATGTTCGATTTTCCCCCGGAGGAAGTCGAGTAGTA